ACTTTTCATCAATTAATAGATAGTGAATATTCTTAAAAAGAGCCTGTAAAGATCAAAGATTTTGAGAGTTGAGTAGTTCATATAATATGTTCTTATATATAAGAAGCTGAAATAATGTATACAAGATTTAAGTATTAATGAAGTGAGCAGTTATATCAGTTAACATAGCTTAAATAATTAAGATTGAGAGATCTTAAGTCTCTGCAAGATTTTAAAGAGTTGTAGATAAAATTATAATCAGATAAGTTTTATCAGTGTTATCTTCATTATCTAGATTAATTAGTAAAGAATTCAGAGACTCACTGTTAAGAATCTCAGTATAATAATAGAGAATAATATTATGAAGAAGACATTGATCAGAATTTAAAGTCTTAAGTGAGTTATATTTATAAAGAGTAGTATCTGTAAGAAAGTCAGTCTTTGTATTATTTCAAAATTCTGTGTTAAGATTAATATAAGTATTAATATGAGAGCTTCAATCATAGTTGAAATCTAAGAACTAATGATCAAGCTGTTCACAGTTTCAGATATCAATGAGATTATTATTATTATACTATGAGTTTTAATAGATGAGTAATACTTAAGAGAGATCAAGCTTCTCTTTATCATTCTAATTATCTTCAAACTCAGATTCTGATTCTGACATATCTTTATCATAGACATTAACTGAGTGATTATAAGAAAGACAGCAATAATTAAAGATCTCTGTAAAAGAGAATCAAGAGATGAGAAGATTAATAATCTTGAGATCTTCAATTTAATGAAAAGAATAATGAAGAAGAAGTTTAATATAAGTATAGTTCTCTGAATCAGTTTCAAACTGATAAATAGAAAAGTAGATCAATACTCAGAGTTTTATACAGAGATATCTCTTAATTTAATAACTATGAGAAAAGATTTAAAGAAGTTTAAAAAATAAAAGATCTTTAAATTCAGTTAATCACTACTTATATTTTTTTAAAAAGAATGAATTATATTATAATTCATCAGATTCAAGAATATAACTATAATAATATTAAGATTCAGATCAATAATTAACTACAATTGACTTATAAGAACTCATTTATAAAGAAAGATTTAAAAGAAGATAATAAATCTTCTAAGTAGATTAATCACACTTATCAATGAACTAATTCATAAGTTTAATAACTGTAGAGTATAGTGAGTGACTTGAACTGACTCTTGAAATTACTTATTAAATAATCTGATGATAGAATTCTATATCTGTTTCAGTCTTGACAATGTACTTAGATAGATAATTAAGAACAGTATAGCTGTCAGTGTAGAGAGTAATATCAGTATTTATTAGTTAGCTAACTGTAATCAATCTGTTATAGTTATTAAGAATTAAGTCATTATAACAGAGATGCAGCTGATAATATCTACTACTTAAAGATTTAAAAATAACACAGTCAGTTCAGTATTTATATAAGAAATGAAATTAGTAATGTAAATTATTAGTAATCTGATATTTATAAATGCAGTACTTTTCACTACAGTGATAATATTGAATATAGTTAAGAACTGTAAATAAATATTTAATAATATTCATCTAATTAGAATGACTGAGAGAAAGAGATAATTATATATCTTCAGACTGAGTATAATTAAGCTCAGAATTCTCAGCTGTAATAATGAGATCTCAGTAGTCAGTAAAGACTTGATAGAAGTCTTCATTCATATTAAGTTCAGAATTCAGTATATTCTTATACTAAAATACACTATATAAGTACACTGATTCACAGTCTTATCACTTATAACAAGTTCAGTGATCTAGAATTTTGAATTTCAGATCTAGAATCTTTTTCTTGAAGATTGTAAGTTATAGATGAAAGTAATGTATAATTATAACAGAATAGTTATAAATACTATCTCTTATAAACTTCAATCTCTTAAAATCAGTGCTGTACTTTTAAATAACATAGTTAGAGAAGTAATATATTAGATTATCTCAGTGATGATCTGTAGCTGAGAGAGTAAGAAATAAATACAGAGATCTAATATTTCAAATATAGACTTATAGCTGATAATATTTTATATTTTAAAAAGAACAGATTTTATAAAGACTCTCTGCAAACTGTGTAAGTGAATTCAAAATCACAGTAGATTATAAAGTATTAGTAGTAAAAACAGTCTATAACTTCTCTAGAGTAAGATTCTTAATAAGAGAATCAGTTTAATTATAGAAAAAGTGACTCTGATTATTAATCTATCTATGAAATAGAGAATTGAAAAGAATATATTGAAAATAACTATAATAGATAAAACAGCTGTTATAATATTTAAGAAGAAACTGTATATAATCTATAAGACTAATTATTCTTTATTTAGAGAGAATGAATTCAGCTTTATCTTGTGAGAAAAGTATTAAAAAGATCTAAGAAAAGAGTGAATAAGTATTATTAAACTTACTAAGTAATATATTACAGATCAAAGACAGAGTGAGATAATTAATCTATTCTTACTATAATATTTTAAGTTTATAACAGAGTTATTTAACTTTGAACTGTAAAATTAAAAGATCTGAAATATCAGAGTATTCAGATAAGATATTCAAGTTATTAAAATTTAAATAATTCTTATTCTTAATAGTTATTAATTCTTATTTATCAAGCTTATGAAAAGAAATCTGATCAGAGATATCTTCATTTTCAGATAACTAATTTTAAGTCTTTTTATCAATTATAATGTTCTGATAACTGAGATGATTTTTATAAAGATAGATTAGTTATTAAGTAACAGCTTCTTTATAAATTATAAAATCTCAGTGAAACTGATATTATAAACAGAGATCTGTATTTGAATTTAAAGACTTTAATATAATAATATCAAGATTCTTAGAAAGAAGTGAAAGAGTATTATAAATACAGTCAGTATCTCTAAGAAAGTTAATAATATAATCTTTATACTTATACTAATGTTCTCTGACTTAATGAATCTCAATGAAGATATATATATATAAAATTAATATCTCTTTAATCTGACTGAGAATAGAAAGATCTGAATCAAGATTATCAGAATCAAGATTATTCTCTTAAGAGAATAAAAATAGCTTATTAAATAGCTATCTTAAATCAATAATATAATAATAAGTATAAATATTATCTTAAAGATTTATTCTAAATTAGTGAATTTAATAACAGCTACAGATCTTTATCTGTAAATCTTTAAATATATAATGAAATTTCTGTATATACTGTTAATTATCAGAATTAACAGCTGAATCTATAAGATAAGTAAAACTCTGAGAATTTATCAAAGAATCTGAGATAATTGCAGTCTATAACTGATTATATTTCTGAAGAATTATAAGAGCTTCTATATTTAATATATCAATTGAGCTTTCAGACTATATAAAGTGTTAGAATGTTAAAAAACTGTTAACTCTTCTATTAAACTAATTAATAAATGAATCTACAGAGCTCTGAGAAACAGAACTTTGAGAAGTTAAAAATAAGAAAAATAATATAAAAGATGTCTGTAGTGAAAGTATATCTGTAAAAATAAAATAAAATTGACTTAGAAATGAGTTAAATAATAATATAGATAATTAATAAAAGATTGAAGAGAGATCTACAGAACTGAGAGATAAATTAATTATTAAAGATAATAGTCACAGTTATTTTCTTAATTGAGTTAAAAATAAAGTTAATAAGAGATATTCTCTATAATATCTGATAATATAATAAGCTTTTTAAATAATAGTTTTCTTTTTATAAACTGTTATTAATGAAGATATATCAGAACTATGAATTTTATAATAATAAAACTTAATCTTAGATAATATATCTATTTTAATAGACTGTTCACAGGCTCAAGAGACTGCTGTTAATTGTATAAAGTATTAATATATTTAAAATAATAGAGAAAGTTCAGACTCATTTATCACAGAATCTGTGACTGTAGAAGAATTTGATTTCACTGTATATATCTGTTTACAGTTCTACACAGTGTAAAGAGATAATCAGTAATAGAAAAGATGTAATAAGAGAAGATTATAATATCTGAGTTCTCTAAGTACAGTATTAAAGACAGACAGCTGTAGAAGTAGTAGAACACTGTAAAGAAATAAATTAATTAAGAGACTGATTTTATAAGCAGTGAATACAGACTTTTAATATATTATTTATTTTTAAGAATCTATGAGAGATAATTAATCAGATGTATTATCTATTCAAGAATCTGTATAAAGTAGATAGTTAATAAGATGTGTGATCTATTATTCAAGAATCTGTACAGAGTATAGTTAATGAGATATATAATCTATTATTTAAGAATCTGTACAGAGTAGACTGACTATCAGAATTATGAATTTCATGTTTAGTTTTATTTAATCTGATCTCATACATTTCTTGACATGAATTCTGCTGAGACTGGCTATTAAAAAAACATGTAAAGTGACTATATATCAGATCTTAAAATGAAATCATAACTTGAAAAAAATGAGAAAGTGATTTCATTTGATCTCATTTAGTCTCATTCTTAGTATAAAGTTACTATTTTTAGACATTTTAAGATTTTTTTTAGACTATTTTTAATTTTTTAAAAAGTAACACTTTTTGATAACACTCAAATGAGATTTAAAGTCATTTAAAGCAATAAAAATAATTTAAATTGAGAAGTGAAAATCATGATCTTATTTGAAAAATGTGATAAGAGTAGACAGTAAGTCTTACTGAGACAGTATGAGACTACTATCTAATGTTAAAACTGTGTAATGGGATCAGTCGAATTAGTAATGAGACTATCAAAAAATCTGGTCCTGGTCCCAGACACGGTCACACGGTCAGTCTAGTACAGAGTAGATGATTGATGAGATGAAAGATGAACACATTGTGGGCGCGCAGAGATTCATGGATATAGTGCAATGTCACAGGATTGCACTTCACTTAATTCTACACCAATCAGTGAGCTGTATTCACGCCAAGAACCCCAAAAAGGAAATTCTCCACTTTTAATGACCAGGGTTTTCATCATATATTTGCTTCGCTTCGCTCCGCAAATAATCAAGATTCGGAAGCCGAACAACATACATACATACGTCAATGTGAAATCATGAGAGGCCGGGGAAAACGGAAAGCAAAATGCAATGTAAACCCGATGCCTGGATGATGCGGAGGTTGTGGCCCAGAACGTCGCGTAAGCATTTGGCATGTTGATCTAACCGTCCAGCTCGGGTTGGAGTTATTCAGATACATAGACTTGGGTTGCAAGGGCGATATCATGATACCACGCATTGCCGGGGTTGTTCTCAGCCGACCTCGGCCAGTGAAAAAAATATTGCAGATATGCTAAATCTGTGGATGATGTAAAGCTTGCTTGATTGAAGATTGCTAGCTACGTGGGAAGTTATATGGTGGGAGGCTTATTAATCTAAGACCTGCAGGTCTGACAGAATCACCATCAGGAAGGTTTTTGGAGACAGGGGATATGGCAAAGAGAGCTGAAAGATTAGGCAGGGAGTTCCAGCTGCGCTGATTGACAACGTTAGTGCTATGGTATATAAGGGAGGCTGAGTCCCCGTTTTGGCAGACCTATGAACGGCGAACCAAATAGTTTAGTCTGATATCCTCATTTCCTTATTCCCATAAAGAGGGTTGTCCCGAAGGATTTCATCAAGAGAGCGCCAACGTGCATCGCGAGCACGAAACAGCATCGCAATGAGTGAAGAACAAAATCACCCCCTTGCTCAACCGGCAGCTTTCGCCAACCCGCTGCCAGAGTTATCTGCAGAAGACTAGAAAATTTTCAACTACTTTGCAGACAAAATGGATATCCATGTCAGTGAGCACGAGGAAAATTTCGAAAAGTCAAGATATCACTTGTCATTTTGCAGCAATATCCTGACAGCTCATGTAACATAACGACTTTCGCGAAATATGGGTGACATTATACGACGCCTGCGTTGCCAACGAGCTTCCAAAGGACATGTCTGTGGAGCAGTTCATCGAAATTGGAACAAACTTCTGCAATAACCTGCAAATCCACCATGGGGTTGAGGAGCAACTGGTGTTTCCTTACTTGGGCCAGCGTATGCCAGCGTTTAAAGTTGAAAATAACGAACTCGAGCTGCTTGTGTAGCACCAACGTATCCACGCGGGTCTGGCGAAGATGCAGGGGTATCTTTCGGCGTGCGAGGGTCCCAAGAAGGAGTTCGAACTGAAAGATTTGAAGGCGATTACGGATGGATTTGGGGAGATCTTGTGGTTCCATATGGATGACGAGGTGGATCAACTTCGCGCGGACAAAATGCGGCCGTATTGGTCGCTCGAGGAGATAAAAGCTATGCCTGTTTATGAGCTTGTAGCAGAGGAACTACTAGCTCAAATTAGTGTTACTCCCTATTAGTGCATTCGGGGTGTATATACATGAAGTATGTACTGTACATCTTGTCCATTGTCAAGGTATACCATCGCATGCAAAAGCTTTCCCTTTGACTGTCATTCAATAAAACGCAGCCACATACAAGTTTCTGTTCCTTTGGAAATAATATAGATGCGAAGATGGGGTATTGCACATCCGGTAATGGAAACCCCATGTTGACTGTATACAGCTTCCTTTGCTATACCGCGCTGAGCAACTGAATGTTTGAACTTTCCCTCCGCGTCTTCAGAAGTTTCTTTGGGGGAACGAGTCGAATTTCGTGACCGTTTTCTCTTACAAGGCGGCCCCCCCTGCGCTCCTTTTGGATGTGCTGAGCAACGTGCTGAGCAGACACGCCGGATTGTGCAAATAGATGGTTTATCTCCTCCAATGTCATGTTGGCTGGCTCCGGGTAACAGAAGCACACAAAAGGAATGAATGCGAAATTGGCCCGCATAAATATCGAAAACACGTTCCCTTGTAGTCTGTTGAAAATAACTGGCGTGACGATATTGATGATGGTGACAAAGCTCTGTGTTACCAATATTAGCAAATCCCTACAGCAGTTGTGGAGAGTATGAGGGGGGGCACCAACCCAAAACCAGGTAGATGAAATTCCAATCGCTGTTCCTTTCTCTCTGGCATGGATGTGGAAGATCTCAAGGACATAGACCCACGCGATGCAATTGACCGACGCGCCGAGTATAAGCATATACTACCTCAGCCACGGGGATGTCCTGCGGGGATGGAACATGGACTGGCGCTATACAGTAACTTGAGGAAGAAATGCAACACCAGCCGCAGCCGTTGGCCTCTCTACCGCTGTCCCCCTACAACTCAACAATATCGAAATCATCAGGTACCCTCAAGATTGCTATCCTCAAGTGGTGGAATATTGCGTCCAAAAGTAAAAGAGGGGGAAAATGCGATCTCTCTGGGCAGGGGGAAATTTGTGTTCTGTAACTATCATCTGAGAGTCCGTCAACCAACGCAGCTAACTGGCTTGAATGTCATGACAAAAATGATGCTGCCACTATCCCTCCGCAATTGAGTATCTGTGCCTATCAACGCTTCTAACGTTTTAAAGCAGGCATTACTGGTATCCTTATGGCTGGGTAGAAGGAAAAGTTCCCAATAATATGCAACATCCCCACGTTACACAAACCTGCCAACAGATGGTAATACCGAGACTCGTCATCGGAGAAAGGTAGTTCAGAATATGTCGTACTTGTGACGGTGTGTCGAACCTATAACTAACGGTGACCGTGCTAAGTAAGGTCGACGACGATCATAGGCAAACATGGCGAATTTTAAATGCTGTGGAATCTAGACGGATATCCCGTTCCATCGTGTGGATCGGATGCCGGTGGGTGGGGGACATATCTTTGATGGAATAATAGCCTAAAGCAAAGGTCTTCTTGTTTCTACCACCCTCTTCCGTCCTGTGCCTAGAGAATCCTGTACCTTTTAAACTCCCTGGTAGGTACTCTTCTTTCAAACATAATGTCGAGCTCTTCATATGTTCGTCCTTTAGTTTCCGGGACATTAAAATAGGTCCATACAAAACAAATAGAAGCAAGGCCCTACGATCTGTGTTAAACGTATAAAAACACAAGCATAGTATTTAAGCGAGAGGCCAAAAAGTTACTTACGCCAAAAAAGAACCCTAGTTTCCCTCTTATATTCCCTGCATCCGGATTTATCATATAAGGAATCACGACAGTCATGACTATGCCGAAGATAGCTTGTATAGCTGTTGAAATGGCAATAGTCTTGCTGCGAAGTTTGGTTGCGGAACATTCACAAAGAATGACGAAACATACCGGTCCAACAGAGAGGTCGTACGTGAAATTCCATACCAGCATCATGGATGCCTGAGCCCAGATGACCGCAGGACGTTCCGTATAGTTAGGCACACAGTCCAGGATGCCGATGATTAATAGAATAACCGCAAGCCCAGCTAGGCCACTACTGTAGATCACTCGGCGGCCGAAGTATGCGAGGAGAACCCAGGATAAAATGCATCCCAGAAATCCCACCCCGAGAAAACCGACCTAGAAAGACCATGTAAACTCATCCACCTGACACTGGCGACGGAGGTCACAACTTACGCCCATATTGAATGCATCGTCAGGAGGAAGACCAGCCTCTATTTAACAAAAAGTTAGCGAATATCAGCCTTTAGGGACAATAGGCGTCGCTAACGTGTGAAAAAGTAGTTGGAATATCCAATGAGATAAATGCCGCTGAAAACTTGAATGGAATATACGCCGATAGCGATTTGGGTACGACGAAGGTTGGTTTTCTTGAAACAATCACGGAAAGAAGTCCCTGCTTCCATCTGCTGCTCAAGACGATCGGTTTCGATAATCATTGACTAAAACAAAGCCGTCATTCAGCACGGTACGCATTCTGATAAGCTCCCGCAGCTATGCTATCTTAAGGCTTACCAGGGTTGGTTTGACATCAACACTCGATGACGCGAGCCTCCGAAGTGAATTTTCGGCGTCTTGCAGTCTTCCCTTCCTTACGAGCCACCACGGACTCTCAGGGGCAGAGAATACCCCGGCAAGGATCACGGCTGGCCAGAACCACTGGGTCGCAAAGGGCGAACTATAAGCCCAGTGGCTATCTAGCCCGTGAGTCGCAGCGGAGACCCCGTTGGCGATGAACTGGCCGATAACAAAACAGAGATTCACATATGCCGTCAGAACACCACGCAGGGCAACGGGGCATACTTCCGAAGCGTAGGCGGGGGCGATAACTGCGTATGATCCTAATATCAAGCCTCCAAGAAGTTCGCCAACGATCAGGACTTTCAACGACCGTGCGAAGAATTGGATGAAGACACAGCCAGCAGTCAAGACAACGCATGCCTAAAAATTGGCAGAAAAGGTTCAGCATAGACTTACATAGATGCATGTATAGTACATGTACAGTACATGCACTGCACCAACAGCTGGGCTAAATAAGTACAAGTAGGGCTTACTGCAAAAGTTTTCTTTCGACCAAACCATTCCATCGGATATGTAGCGGCTAAGGCGCCTACAACTTGGCCGATAGGACTTCCCATGCTAAAGAACATGTTTAAAAAGGGTCGAATAAGTGTTCTGTTTTCCAAGAAAGCATACAAGCCATAGAGATTAGAGTAAAAAATTGCATCTTGTACCTGAGCCCTGACTGCCACGCAGCAGAAATTATCCACTTCCCCTTGAAGAGATAGCCAAAATCCTGCTGGAACCTGGGGACACCATATAGATTCCCTATGATCTGGGGGTCATAGCCAGTCATGATAACACCGAGGGAGAAAAAGAAAGACCACGCAGCTGCTTTAGGATAGAGCCTAAGTGCGGTGCTGATGTCTAATTCGCGTTCTGTAATAGTTGCAACTTGAGCTTCCGGTATGATCTCCGTGGCAGAGTCGCCAGCAGTGATGTTACGTTTTTGCTGCTCCGCGTCATCCTTATCGACAGTAACCATGGTGTCTGACTTGATAGTCCCCGTGCTGTTTGGACGCAGAGAAGGACGATACGATGAAGCCAATGAAGCCAATCCAGGAGCCGCAAGTAGAGGCGTACGGCTGTCAACCGCTTCATCTGAAAGATTTGCCAAAATTCACCGGAGTCAGAGAAGCAGGGACGGCGGCATGGGTTTGAAAGGGAGCAGTTATTAAGAGATATTTAGAAGCCGTTTCCCTGTTCTGTACTCATAGTCGCTGATATCTGAACCCAGCATTTTGAAACTGTGTGACTAGGTCTATCTATTCACGGATGCTTTGGGGGGAATAATGAGTAGAACGCGAGACAGCTCGTGGATGTAAATAGGGTTGCTAATAGCCGGCAGTGAATAGGAAAAGTGAAGAAACTGCCATACATCTATCTGTCTTGTACGCTGTTAGTAGTATTTAACTAATTAGCTACAGAGCTGCAGCTGCTCGACGAGATTTGAGAGTGTCTGCAGTGAACTGGGAGGAAGGTCGATGGTGTACCTGCTTTAACTATAATTTGGCGGTGTTTGGGGGGTTCTTAGCGGGCTGTCAGCTAGATGTTTAGTTAAAGACCACCCCCGCAGCCCCCAGAAGGAATACTGTATGTTTCTTAACAATGGCATATTTAGTAATTCGAAGCTTAAATAAATACTCCATTTCACATCCATCGAAGGCTAAATAAATAACTAACGATCTTCTTCTCCTCATGCTTCATTATATTAACTAAACGAGGTGAAACAGCGCGCAATGAGCAATGATGCAACAATAAGCATTCTTGGCGTAGTTAGAGGCCACCCGCCTTCGCTTGTCTCTAGTTACTATGTCCAAGCTCCAACCGCCGAACATCTTTCTATCTAAATATCTTCACTTCAATCTGTCTCTTCTTCTATCTACTATGTACAGACCACAGACAGACAGACTGCACCCTCGAGCTCGCTCAACCGGACATTAGCCGCCTGTGTTATATATTCCTGTCGATTTCCTTTTGCTCTTATTTATTCTCATGGGGCAGTGGCCTTTCATCCAAACCCTCTCAATGTCCATGTAGCCAACCCGCCCTGCAGCACGCCGCTATCCTCGAGTCTTTCTTTCTCATACAATGTCTGTCCCATCGTTGGTCCACCTTGCGCGAAAGGCGTGCATGAAGATTATAAAGAGTATATTGCACCCCCTTCTCTTTTTTCCCTTCCATATTACAAAAGTTAATAATAACTGTATCTGACTGTCGCTCATAGGGATCGATGATATCGGTTTGGCCCGCTATGATCTTATCAGGCCAATCCTCCAAAAGATAGAGAACCCCGAACACCTGGTATGTGTGTCCCCGCTCCCGCCCGCATCAAACGCTCTCTTATTATATAGCTTCCAAAACATTTTTCACTAACTCGAAATCTTTTTTACCATAGCGCGAGCTTGAACTGAAATCGCCGCACCTCCTTGAGCATGATGCAGAGTTATGGATGGAGTTTATCAAGCGTGATGTTCCTGGATACGATAAACTCATCCTCCCCGAGAACCCTGAAAGCTGGTACGATGTCTACCACGAACTCCTCGAGAAAACCGCCATGGAAGTCGATAAAGATGCAGAACGCATGAAGCGTGCGCTACTTGGCCTCGATTCCAAAAAGGCTAGACATAGCTCCAAGGTGGTCGATACGCAGAAAATGCGACTGCCCAAGGAGAAACCAACCGCGATCCAGCGATACGCTTTTCTAGACAGGAAAATGGGAGGCATTGCTCCCGTGTTCGTCCCGGCCGCTCCAAAAGAAGGAGGCCGGGGAATCACCCCGTACGACCAGACCCCGCGCTGGAAGTTTGAGACCCCCAAGATACCACGGTCGGCTCCTGCGCCCAAGAAGTCCGCACTTCCCCTCGTAAAGAGGAATCACCGACTCTGCATCCCCACGCATCGTCTGAACAGCAGCGCCTCGCAGGTTGTGAATGCCCCTCGATCGCTGATCGAAGCTTACAAGCGCCCTATTGAACAAAGTATCCCGAGACCAACAACGAGAGATTTACGCTCTTCTTCTTCTACTACTCCTACCATTACTACACAATCGACAACGACGACAACAAAAACAACCAACCTCAGTCTCCGCCCCTCCCCCCGAGATCCGGGATCAAACCAATCAAAAACCCTCGTTCCCTCCTCAGCCTCGCCTACCACCCCCTCTCGCCCTTCACCCATACGGAGACATAACTCACTACCTACGAGAAGGGAGGAGCAAGCTTCTATGTTTTCCACAACTTCACCAACGACTACAAAGACGACAGACACCCATCAGGCCGGCGATGATAGCCATACCTCAGCGGCCAAGCCCCCCCCTCCTCCTTCTTCTCCTCCTCTACCTCGCCCCGCTGTAAGAAAACGACCGGTTGCCGAATACGTGCTCGTGAAGCCTAAGAAGAGACGGCTATTCTAGCACCTAATCATTTTTATATATCTCGACAAAACTGAGCGGCCTCACCTCATCTCACCTATCGGAGCCGCGCTTTCTTTACCATTATATCCATTTTAGAAAATCTTCGGCGCATAGGATTGGACTACTACTGGGCAGGAACCGAACGAACATACACATAAGTATGAAATAAATGACATGATGAAATACCTCTTAATGATACATACACACAAACACACCGGACACTTTACTATACCCAACATGGGCGGGCAGATAATTTTTTTTTCCCCTTTTTCTTTCCTGATCTTGGCGTATGGGCACAGTGTTTTCGGGATGGTGTGAATTTCTAAAGCATTCATCCCCTAGACATTCTAGATAGACATACATGTCTGTACACTACATAGCTAGCAGGAGCACATCTATGGGGTCTCGTCTTGAGGCCACGGGAGCTTGAAGGCTTGGTTGGCTGGCTGATTGGTTGGAGTTTTGTTTTTTTTACCTTGGGCATTGTGGGAGATTTGTTGTTGTTTTTTCCCCTTTCTTTTCTGTTTTCTTATCGTGTCCACCTTGCTAGTAATTATATATATGTATATATCTATTTGCTTCAAATTTTGTTTATTTATTGGAAAGTTGATGAACACACTGCTCTGCTTCCTTTTCTGCCCTTTGGCATGTTACTTACTCTATTTTTATTTTTATTTTTATTTTTATTTTTTTGGACATTTTAAATAACGATCTTAGATACCCATAGCGCACATGGAGCCATTTACTCTTCCTTTTCAACTTGTCTTGTTTCGTCCTCTAGTTATGGCTGACTATTCACCTATATATATATACATCCGTATGTAAATAGCTATCGAAGTGATCACGTCCTATCTAGATAACATTAAAAATATGGCGTTACATGCTACGAAATGAACATACAACATTCACTAGAAAGATGAGAGAGCGAATCTGGAAATGGTCAAAGTCAGTTCTTGCTGAATTTCGCTAAGTGATTGATAAATATATATATATATATAAAAGTGAAAATGAAAATGAAAGTAGAGAAAAAAGGGAGCAGCAAAACGACATAAGAGCTTCGTAGTGGGCCATGCTATTTATCTAATATGCCGGAGTCACGGCCTGGCCAGGACAACTCGTCATATTTATCTCATACGTGTGTTTATCTGCACCACACCGGCAACAAAAAACCATAAGCCCTTTTTTCCCCCCCTTTATATCTTTTCTGATCCTGTTTTTATGTATATTTCCCATGTATCTTGTATTTTGTATCTTGTCTCCATTTTAGGTATCATCCTAGGCAACAACAATAAGAAACCCCCAGAACAAATTCACACATAAGGTGTGTAATATACCAAATCTAAACCTGGCCACGCTGCAGTGTCTGTGGGTGTCCACTTTCATCTCATATCCCACAACGGCGGCCAGGAAAGAAGGAGGGGAAACAATAGAGTAGAGAGCGGTTGTTGGATTCATCAATCGACAGGGGTGATATATATATGCGTTATGTTTCGTAGCTATTCCGGCCCATAGGAGGGGAAAAGGAAAGGGGGGAGGAAGAAGACTGCACGAAGGGATTCCATGGTTTTTTTTTTTTTTTTTTTTTTTTTTTTCCTGTTTAAAAAGGGACAAGGAAGATATTTATAACCTGCCCCCGCGAAGAGCGAGGACTAAATGTAGTGTAGCGCCACCTTCAAGGTTGTAATCTGCCGCGGTCCTGTCGTCTGCCCTGTTTGGTTTTTAGAAGAGGGAATTAAAACATGAGTTATACTTGTAACGATTTGGGAAACAAAAATATTCTCTCCAAGGGCTTGTTTTTTTTTTCTCTTGCCCGACCAATGAACGTTTTGTTTATCGGTCCCTCATGGTATAGGATGAAACAGTAAAACGTACATTTGTTTCCCTCCGAAAATCAATCGCTGTTGCGAAGGGGGGATGCCCTGTTTTTCCTCAACACGTTCCTTTATGCGGGATACCTGGCAGGAGGAGAAAGGAGAATGAGTTTGAACGTCAGCCGCGGTGTTTTTGATTTGAGAAGCTTGTTGCTATCTATAAGTTGACTTGGAGGTTGGGGGAGGGAGAAAGAGAGAGGTGAGGGGCGCACTTTGTAGTCTGGTTCTATGTCCAGCTCCATCTCATTGCCTGACAGCGTTCGCACTCTGAGATGGCGGGATTTGATTAGCCTTTTCCAATACTGCTTTTGATGTGGATATGATTGGTATTTGGAGTACTGGACTCACTTGATAAGCATTGTGGTGGTAGCTGTTGGTAATCGGGGCCAGGCGGGGGATGTGAGGATGCGAGGATGCGGATGTGGATGTGGGCGAGAGCGTTGTAGAGACGAGGGTTGAGCTATTATATGTTTCTATAGCTTATGGAGGAGCTGAGGATATCCCAAGGCTGGTTGGGAGGAGATGGTTGTTTTTATGCCAGGCTGCCAGGCTGCCAGGCTGCCAGATATATGTATGTTGGGGAAGTTGGGAAGTTGGAAAGTTGAAGTTGCCGAAGCAGCGTAGTTGAGGTGAGTGAGGGCACCAGGAGAGAAATGGCGGGGATAGCAACCGATAAATAACTGAGTTTAAACGTTTAAA